GCACGAGATGAGTGTGAAAGAAATGAGAAATCTTCCTAAATGTTGCAGCCTCCCAATTATAGATGTGGCGCGCTTCACACCGATAACTAGGACTCTACAGACACGGCTTCATAGACTCCCTAGAACTCTTGAACTCTGATACCAAGTTTGTCACGCCCCGAGCCTACACCCTGGGTGGGACCGGCACCCGGAGACCATTGCTGGCCTCAAGCGAACCCTTTCCTGGCTTTCTTAACTCATCGGAAACCTAACTCAACAGAATAACTCCATGCAATGCAAAGACATAAAACAACTTAACTGATAACATATGGCCTAAAAGGTAACTCGAGGCCCAAAATAGAATATTCACATATATACATAGATGAGAGACTCAAAACTAACCAACTAACTGACTATCTATGAAGCCTCTATAACACTGAGATGGATGTTGGGATATAGACCCCGCAACATCCTACTAACACAAAAGTAAGAGAACAAAATAACCGAGTCATCCGAAATGCAAAGAGGCTCACCACTGACTCTGGAGTGCTCAGCTGGATCAACAGCATGCTGGATGCTGGTCCTGGGTACCTGCATCATCATAAGATGCAGGCCAACTGGCATCAGTACATTGAATGTACGAGTATGCGAGCTGGAAAACTAAGCAACATAGGCTAGAAGGAAATCTAGAAGAAACGGAATAGCTTACCTGGCTCAACTCAACTCAATCTGACTGACTCCTTTCAATATAAGGCAATTTAAAACAAGTGCGATATAAATAAAGGTTGTTTAAAACCCGCTATAAACTCTGTGTGTATACAACGATACAATAAACCTGAGATGTATGTAGAAATACAAATGAACTGATGTATATAAAAATACAATAATTGTTGTGTGTATACAAAGATACAATAACTTCTGTGGGAGTTTCTCTAACCGACAACCATCACATAAGAGCTATAGTGATGATACATCGATCAACCTCACGCTGCCAGAGCATCCTACACCCGACCAAAGGTATAGGACCAGAACTTCCTAATGAATCCACTAGTCTAATCTGAAAAGGATTCATCTAAAAAGTATGAACCTCTTCTACCCATGATGGCTACATGGTTCTATGGGGGCTGTGGGTTCTTTGAACGCTCCCCCAATTCGGTGCTCGATACTACTCCCAAAAATGTACTGGCTCTTATGTTTTTAAAACAAATGTCTTCCTGCTGATTTGAGATCATTACTCAAAAACTTAGCTCAAAGGCTATCTTGAAAATCTCAGTTTCCTCTTTTGCTTCATTTAGAAAGTGATTACTCTTTTTGGAAAACTAGCCCAAAGGCTCTTTGGAAATCTCAGTTTCCAATCTTGTTTAAATGTGAAAACATTTCTTTAAAACTTCTTTGGGAATACCTAGTTCCCTAATAACTTTTGAGAAATGAACTCAACTTTATACTATTGACTTAACTTGAAACTCTATACTCTTTGCTTGACTTGAAACTTGAGCCTTAAAATGAAGTTAAAACGTTCAATAAAGACTCTTGAACAACTTAAGACTTGCTTGGACTTACTTCTTAACTTCTAAGATTTGACTCTAACTTCACTTGACTTTGATCCAAACTTTCCTTGAATTGGATTATGGATTAAAGGTATAGATCACATGTTTATGGATGAGTTCTTGACGTTTAGACGTACCTTGGAGTGTGGAAAATGACTATAAAATATAGGTACATTACCAAGGAACATGTATGAAAAAGTAGGGAATGAAAGGGAAAACTTGGCTTCTTTGGCGCTCTGAGAGGCGCGGAGCGCCAGCCCTCAAGCTTCAGAGGGGCCTGCTGGGCGCTCTGCTAGGCGCGCTGCCCCAAGGGCTGGGCTTCAGAGCCCCTTTTGGAGCGCGCTGACTCGCGCGACACCGTAGCCCTTTTCCCCGAAAATTCAACTTTTCTCCTTCTTTTTCCCCACTCTAAACCTTCTAAACTTCAAAGTTTCCAGCCCCAAACACTTAGAATCATAAAAACCCTCAACATACACTTGATTCAACTCAAAATCACAACCGGAAACATGTCCCAAAACAACAAGGAACTTCAACAACACAACCAACAACTTCAACACACACACAACCACAAACTTCAACAACACAACCAATCTTTTCTCAGATATTAAAACAAGTTTGGCGTGTGGGGGAAAGAACCAACCCAACACTATGATCTCACATACCTTAATAGGGATCACCCCCGACGAAATCCACGACGATCTCTACGAAGTTGCTTCTTCTTCTCCTTTCTCCTCTTCTCTCCTTTTCTATCAAGAACCCTAACTCTCACTTTAAAAAGTAAAAACTGATTTAAAATCAGTCTAACACCTTAATATATATCCAAAATAAAAGGCTAGGGAAAAGACCAAAATACCCTTACAAAAATCGGGTTAACTGCCCTGCCAACAGCCCAACTTCCAAAGGGCATAACTCCCTCGTACGAACTTGGAATCGGGCAAACTCGGCGGCGTTGGAAAGACCATTCCACGAACTTTGAAAACATAACTGTAAATATACCTAACTCATCCTGAGCTAAGAGTTATAACTGTTCAAAGTTGGCCAAAAACTCACTTTTTCCCATACTTAACCAAATTTTCCAGATTTTTAATTCCTTCCAAAAATGACTATTTCCAATTCTAAGCCTCTTCATAGTTATTTCAAATTTCCGGATGTTACAGTTAGAGCGTTCCCATGATTTATGAAAAGACTTCTCATCCTCACTGCTCTTATCAGTAATGGCAGTAGGTTTGTCAATCAGCAGAGCCAAGTTAAGATCTATCACACCTAAGTGGAACTGGACTTGTTCATGCCATTTAGAGAAGTTCAATCCATTGGACACAATAACAGATGAAGCATGTGAATGAAGAGGAATAACTGCAAAATAGATATGCATGCTCACAAATCAGAAAATAATGTGAATTCAGTAAAGCGATAAAAATATATCGTAATTCTCCTATAGGTAGATACTACGACACATTATCATAATTTAAATGCCAATTTTATCTTTAATAGGTAATGAAATATTTTTTAATCAAATATATACGACATCTTTGGATATACAATATATGTTTAACTAAAAGATATTAGTTTACCTCATAATTTTCACTATTCGTAGAATGATAGATTCACCTTTGGGTAAATTCTTAAGTTATAGCAATAGTGAAAGTCAATTTATCTATTTATTTTTCAATATAAGCATTTGATTAATCTTCATAGATAAATGACAATTTTATGAATGCATATTTCTTCTTAACCATACTAGTTTGGCCACTTTGGTGACTAACAAGCTATATGAATACAAATGCATACATAATCTCATAAAATTTTGTGCATGTGAATAATTTTAAACATTTTAGTTTGGCCACTTTTGTGACTAACAAACTATAGTAACATAATACATGCATCAAGTGATCATAAACATGGTATGTGTAGACGTTAATTTCTCTAGTTTGGCCACTTTGGTGACTAACAAACTATAGAAACATAATACATGCATCAAGTGATCATAAACACTACAAAAAAAACAGCATTTAGCGACGGATTATAGTGACAAACAATATTCCGTCGCTAAATAACGACGGATTAGCTACGGAAATATAAATTGGTCGCTAAATTATCGGATAATATATTGGGACCTAAATTAGCGACAAAATAGCGTCAAAAACTTAAATCCGTCGCTGAATTTAGGCGCTAAAATTTGGCGCCTCTATTTTTCCTACTAAATTAGATAATTGACTATGAAATTCGCGATAAACTTATAATAAAAAATTTCCAGGGCACAAATCCCTTTCACACAAATTAAATCACTCACTCTCTTCCTCTTTGCTGCTCATTGCTACCCAAAAAATTCCTAGGGCACAAATCCCTTTCACACAAATTAAATCACTCACTCTCTTCCACTTTGCTGCTCATTGCTACACATACATAGCAGCGCCTTCTGTGGGAAGAAAACCTTGCAAACTTCATTGTGAGTTGTTCTGTGGGAAAGCTTGTTTCATTGTTGTTGGTTCATCAAAAGGTAACAATAGTTTCTATTAATGTCTAAAATTCTATAGTTATTTCATCTCTGGTTCATCTACAGTACTCTTCATCATCTTTTTCTGATTTTTTTAGTTAGGGTAACGATAAAATGCCTATTATCTACCCTAATCTTTGCATTTATATTTATCTTATTTAGCAACTTTTGCATTTGGGTCAAACTTAGGGCAGATAGGAGCATTAGCTTAAAAATAGAAAACTTTGGGCACAAAGATCATTCTATCATATTGTTTTGTTTATTTTTGTTTAACCATTTGATATTTGAAACTTAGTGAAACCTACATAAGCTAGACTTTCACCCTTCCCCTGCTCTCTGTTGTTTTCTGGTAAATCAGACACAATATTAGATAAAAATGTAGTACTTCTTTTCATTCTAACATTACACCACTAGTTCTGTAACTTGTTTTTGTGGTAAGTAATCAACAACTTGTTCTATGTGGTTTTTCTTCAAGTTTCTGGTGGTTTGCTGTTTTGTGATGCTGTAAAATCTGGGAACTTAGAGGTTTTCTGAATTTGTTAAAATAAAAGCACAAGCAGAAAGTACATGAATTTGCTCGCTGGAAAGCTTCTTGATCCACATATAATAAAAGGATGGAGTACTTCTTTTCAGTCTAACATTACACCACTAGTTCTGTTTACTTGATTTTGTGGTAAGTAAGCAACAACTTTTTCTATGTGGATTTTCTTTAAGTTTCTGGTGGCTTGCTGTTTTATGATACTGTAAAACTGGGAACTTAGAGGTTTTCTGAATTTGATAAAATAAAAGCACAAGTAGAAAATACTTGAATTTGTTTGCTGGAAAGCTTCTTGATCCACATATAATAAAAGGATATGGTTTGTGTTCTCTATATACATTTCAATTAAAGACTTCTACTTTAGTACTTCTATGTAATTTCTTTAGTTCTAATTTTTTGAATAACTCTAATTATTTTGTATTTTTTAACATTAAGTAGGAGTATGGAACATCTAAAGCGTAGTTGGATGTACAAGAGATTAGATGGTCGAGGGGCTCTTAATTCTAGTTTTATAGCCGGTGTGAATGACTTTCTCAAGTTTGCATGTTCTCATCCGAATCGCATGAGTGGTGAGGAAGTTAGATGTCCATGTAAAAAATGTCACAACATTAAATACATGAATGTTGAAACTGTTAAACTACACCTTTTTCGTTTAGGATTTGTTGAGAACTATTTTGTTTGGAAATATCAAGGAGAAAAAGAAGTGATCGGTGAAATGTCTATTGATTTACCGAATGATACACAATCTGGATTGGGATATGATAATCCATATCGCCAAATGGTTTTGGATGCAGTTGGATCAAACTTTGGTCAGGGTTCGAGCTTGCAATCTTATAGTAATGACGAACCTGAGTCATCTCATCATTGTGAACCTCCAATGGAGGAAGATCCTAATCCTTCAATGGAGGAGGAACCTAATCCTGAGTCACAAAGGTTTTATGATTTACTTCAAGCCGCTGATGCAGAATTGTATCCTGGTTCTTCCATCTCTCAACTTGCACTAGTTTCTAGGATGCTAAATATTAAAATGGAGAACACTTTGTCACAAAGGGGCTATAATCAAGTGATGCAACTATTGAAAGAGGCATTACCTGAAGATAACCAAGTTCTCGATAGTTATTATCAAACCAAGAAACTAGTGCGTAGCTTGGGTTTGCCTATTGAAAAGATTGATTGTTGTAACTTAGGATGTATGTTGTATTGGGAAGATGATAAAGACCTAACATCTTGTAAGTTTTGTGGCTATGAAGGGTTTAAACGTTGTGTTGGTTCTCGTAAGAGAAAATTGGTCCCTTACAAAAAAATGTATTATTTTCCTCTTATTCCTAGATTGCGGAGATTATATGCATCTCATGCCACAGCTGCCGACATGAGATGGCATCAAGAGCATACACAAGAAGAGGGGGTAATGCGACATCCATCAGACTCTGAGGCTTGGAAGCACTTCAATGAAACTCATCCCTTTTTTGCTTCTGACCCAAGGAATGTGAGGTTGGGGTTATGTACTGATGGTTTTCAACCATTTGCTCAATCTAGAAGAAAATACTCTTCATGGCCAATGATTGTCACTCCATATAATTTGCCCCCGGGGATGTGTATGAAGGAGGCTTACATGTTTTTAACTGTCATTGTTCCAGGGCCACACAATCCTAAACAAAAAATTGATGTTTATCTACAACCTGTAATAAAGGAATTGACTTTATTGTGGGAGACAGGTGTAGAAGCATTTGACATCTCAAAAAAGTAAAATTTTCAATTACGGGCAGCTTTGATGTGGACTATCAATGACTTTCCGGCATATTCTATGTTATCAGGATGGAGTACCAGTGGAAACTTAGCATGCCCTTATTGTATGGAGGAAACACAATCCTTTAGATTACAATATGGTGTGAAAACAACTTGGTTTGACAATCATAGAATGTTTCTTGACCAAAATCATCCATTTAGAAGTGATCGTAAGAACTTTCTTAAAGGTCATATTGTCACAAGATTGCCACCACCTTTAAGATCAGGACAAGAAATTTTGAATCAAATATGTGAGTTGGGGATAAGGAAAGTAACTGAGTTAGATGCAGAAGAAGTTAATAAAAGAATTTGTAAGTCTTGTGGATGGAAAAAACGAAGCATCTTTTGGGATTTGCCTTATTGGAGTTCTAATATGATACGACATAATCTTGACGTCATGCATATTGAGAAGAATGTCTTTGATAATGTATTTAACACAGTTCTTGAGGTGGATGGCAAAACCAAAGACAATCCAAAAGCACGTCTAGATGTTGTAAAATATTGCAATCGGCCACATTTGGCAAGGAATCCTGATGGAAGTTATCCTAAAGCTGCATATACAATAAATAAGGATAAAAAAAAGGTCTTGTTTGATTGGTTGGAAGGTGTGAAGTTTCCAGATGGTTATGTTTCGAATATGAGTCGATGCCTTGCACAGAGAAATTTAAGTTATTTGGGATGAAAAGTCATGATTGTCATGTGTTCATGCAACGACTATTGCCAATTGCCTTTCGTGAGTTACTTCCTAGTAATGTGTGGCAGGCACTTACAGAGTTGAGTTTATTTTTTAAAGATCTTACTTCAACTACTCTTCGAGTGGTGGACTTGGAAAGATTGGAGGTACACATTCCACAAATTTTGTGTAAGTTGGAACGCATATTTCCTCCTGGATTCTTTAACTCAATGGAACATTTACCAGTGCACCTTCCACATGAAGCACGAATTGCTGGACCTGTACAATATAGATGGATGTAGCCTTTTGAGAGGTAATTGTAAAGTATTTATGCTCCTATGGTGAAAAGTATGTTAGACATGACATTATAATTTAATTTTTTACCTATATAGGTACCTCCGAACTCTTAAAAATATGATTGGGAACAAAGCTAGTGTTGAAGGTTCTATTTGTGAAGCATACTTGATGGCAGAGTCAACACAATTGTTTTCTCATTACTTTGAACCTCATGTTATGACACGTCATCATAATGTGATCCGTAATGATGACGGTGGTGCTATGAAAGATGTTGAAGGAAATTTATCAATATTCACCCATCCAAGCAGACTATCGGGTGAAGGAAAAAAAAGAGATTTATCCCTTGAAGAAATTAAGGCCGCCCAAACTTATATTCTACTAAACTGTCAAGAGGTTGAGCGGTTTGTGAGGTAACATTTTAAGATTATACCTGTTTAAAATAAAAAAATTGACTATACATTATGACTTTCTATATAACTTATTTTGTTGCAATGAAGCATGTACGTACAACGTTTGCAAGAAGAGTTTCCGAATCTACCTCAAGATCAAAAAGATGAGAGTCTTGAATCATATTTTTCTATATGGTTCAAGGAATATGTAAGCCTCAAACAATGATTATTCTTTAAAAAAGTGATGTTTTTAAATTATCTTGTGAATATAGACTAAATTTTATAGTATTTTTAACTAGGTTCGATCCAACCATATTGAAAATGAATACTTGAGTAGTCTTGCTCATGGACCATTAATAAGCGCATGTGCTTATCCAGTGTGTTTTGTCAATGGATACAAGTTTCATACAATACATCGCGGTAGTGTAAGATCAACAACGAACAGTGGAGTTTGTATCTCAGATCCAAATGCTGGTGATTACTATGGTAGGATACAAGAAATTATACAATTGGAATATCGTAGAGCACCTTTAAAGCAAGCTATATTATTCAAGTGTGAATGGTTTGATCCAACAATGAATGTTGGTGTTAAGGAGCACAATCAATATAAATTGGTCGATGTTAATCATCCTCGCCGATTTAAAAAATATGAACCTTTTATTCTTGCAATGCAAGCAACTCAAGTGTGTTATATGTCTTATCCTAGCACAAAGAGGGACAAGGATGATTGGTTAGCTGTATTAAAAGTCAAACCTCGAGATGTTATTGAATCACCTGATGAGGGAGGGATCACAGTAGTTGAATCAAATCTTCCATTCCAAGTTGAAGAAGTTGAAGTCCATGAGATAGATATGAATATTATTGTTGATGAAGATATACCTCTGCATGATCCAAATGGGGAGACAATTGAAATGGCTGAGCCAATTAATGAGGATTTGTTGTTAGATCACCATGAATTAGAAGAAGAAACTACAGAAGATGAAGGTGAAACTGAGGATGAAACTGGAGAGGAGGATGATGAGGAGTTTGAAGATGAAATAGATACAGACTAGTATATTGATAGAAATGTGCTACTGTATCTTCAGTGACTTTAGTTTATAGTACTATGTTTTGGATGCAAATTTTTGCCCAGTGAATCATACTAAACTTAATGCTTTCAGTGACTTTTTTTTAAGAAACAGTATTTGAGAATTTCATTCTTCAACCAGTTTTTAATTCTCAAAGACAGATTCACATCCTCTGTGAAGATTGTATTCTGCCTTGTGTTTTATGCACCTGCATTACCTGAGATTTTCAATATAATAGTAGATATGAATCCATTCTTGTTTTAGTTGTATAGTAGGATATGGAGAAGTGATGTTGCTGATCAGTTGGCTTTATTGTCACTGAATGATGGTCTGATTTCTTGAGTTCTGATGAAATCCAATGCTTGTCGCCATCAATTATTTGCTAGTTTCTAGTGTGCTTTTGATTTTGAATTTTCTTCCCCTAGAAAATATGACTTCCCATAAAAAAATTCTTAGACTTAAGTACTTGACTATCAACACTGAATAAGTGCTGCATTAACTAAAAGCATTGAGAGAAAAGAAAGTTAGAGAGAAGTAGAGGGTGACTATTAGTTGCTTGCTGCTTAGCTACTCCACTTGGGTTAAAAGAAGTATTGTGATTAGAAGCTGCAATGTAATGATCTGCTATGTAGCTACTCCAGTTGGGTAATTTTTTTTTTCTTTTCCTTCTCTTGTTTGGGAATGTATGGGATTATGCAATCTTGAAGTTATTTTTCTTGTAGACATGACGCGAGGCAGAGGTCGAGGTAACACAACTCGTGCAAGCAAGACCTCAATTAGAGGTCGAGGCAGCACAAGTCGAGTTTATATGCCTACTGTTCCCATTCCCATAACTAATTCTCAACAAGGTGGTATCAATTCTTCTGTTGGACCAGATCATATTAACCAAAATCAAACATTAGCTCCTACTAATTCGCCTCCTGTTCAAACATCAGCTCATGGTAGTACTCCATCTGTTCATTTTGAAACACCTCATGTAATATCTAATCAGAGCAACGGAATAGGCGAAGGTGCATCTACTCAAAGAAACGTGATAGGGGAGGAGCCTACATCTAGCCAGAACAACACAATAGGTGAAGGTGAGAGTAATAATAATTCTGGACAGCGGACACTTATTTTTCTTTCTCATTCCGGGTAAGTTTGTACTTGCACTATTGTTATTTATATACTGTAATTTCTTCATGATAGACTTCATATAATATATTTCAACTTTTTTTCCAGTTTGGAACCATCAAATATTTGCTCTACTAGGATATGTGAGTCTTTCAAGAATGAACTTGATCCTAATGGAATTAATTGGAAAAGTGTCTCACAAGAAATAAGAGATTTTTATCTCGGAGAATTCGAGGTATATATTTCACCATTTTAATAAAAAATATTACATCACTTTTGAAGGTTGGATACTAATGTTGTTTACTTATAAAATTATTTTAGAAGGAATTCTATTGGGATCCTTCCATTGATAGTGAAGTGAAGATACTATGGCGTAAGAAGGCAGCGAGAAGGTACAGTGATTTTATTTTTTGCATAAAAAAAGGAGCAGTTCGGCCAAAATATGTTCCGGAAGAAACATGGGAAAGTTGGATGAGAATTTGGAAAGATCCCAAGGTTGTTGAGAAGTCAAAAATAAATTCAAAAAATCGGTGTGGTGGTCAGAATGCAGTTGCAAAGGGGACTCACACGGGAGGCTCTATTACTATTGGAGAGCATCGCAAGAGACTTGTAAGTATATTTTTGCACACCCTTAATTTACTTTATATGCATAATCTTAACCCTTCAGAACATTGAAGTGCCTTTGTATTATGTTTGCAATCCCGCAATTCGAGACTAGAAAATGCTTTCTCCTTAATACTTTCATGGGAAAGAATTGACAGTTGTTCTTGCATTTGAGCCTTCTCATTGTAACATTGAGGCATATCATCATATTATTTGTGCATTTCCTACAATTGTTCAACCAATTTTCTGCTTTGATATTTAATCTTGAGAATTAAATTCTTGGAGCTGCTCTTCTGCACACTGTACTGATTTTGAAAATCCACGTGTTATTGGTGGGGGTTTGTTTATGAAGGAGGGTTGCTCTTCAGCTGGCTCTTAACCATGATACATGGTGGCAATAAGTACTAACTATGAATATGAATAGTAGTAGATAATAACGTATTAAGCGGACATCCCATATAATGTTGTGTGTGCTGGGCAGTGTCTTGCTTTCTGAAGACACGACACTCCACAACACACAGATGGCAAAATATAACTTGTGAAGTGTCTCTATTATTGATAAGGCTTTGTTGCTATAATTGTATAGAACTTCTTTTTTACTTATTTGGTTGTTATGTACACTTGTGGTGATATGTATGTTTTACCACACACTAAATGTTTTAGACTCAACATATGAATTACTTCTTACTCAATCAAATTGAATGATCGTCATTTCTCGCCTTGATATGCTTGCTCACTGTTTTGGGTTCAAACAATATGAAACAGGGAAGCATATCTCAAATTCCCTCATGTTTTTAAGGTATTTAAACACCCAATTTAAATTTTTAGGTTTTGTGTACTACTGTTAAGGTTTGAATTAGTATTTTGTGGATGTAAGGTTAGTTCAATTAGCTTGCTTTTAGCTTATCCTTTTGTAATGAACTGCTAATCATGAATGAAAATTTCCAGTTTTCTACATCAATTTTGCCTGATTTTTTAGTTTTCTTCATTGATTTTGAGTTTTGTTGTTGATAAAGTTGAAATTGATGTAGTAATTTAGCGTGTTTGAAGATATTCAACGCCGGCTTAGGTGGTGGGTGAAGTTTAAGTGCGTCATGTGCTGCTAAAGTCTAAAATCAGAACACAGTTTTTTCGTACCTAAAGTTGTGTAGATATTTCCATTCAAAATTTCATCAAGTATAGCTGAAAATGGCACATATTGTTTTTTTTCTGTCATCAGTTATAGGAGGTAGTACATACTGCTGCCACAGTAGGTACATCCCAAGGAAATTTTTTGGTTTACTTGATGATTTTGAGTTTTTTGTGATTTTGAAGTTTCCCAAGTATTTTAGATTGTTTGATGCTAAAGATACTAGGAATAAGTATATTGAGGTTGTTGAAAGAGACCCGCGATTAACCGTTTTTATATCCCAAGTATTTTCACATTTTCATATGTTTTTAATTTTTTTTCCTTGTATAGGCTATTGAAAAGGGTCGAGATCCAACACCAAGTGAGTTACATTTGCATGTCCATACACATGGTCATGATGGAAAATCTTTTGTTGGTGAACGAGCTCGAGTTGTACATGTAAGTCCAATATTCTACAATTACATTCACTTTATATATTCGTTGGTGGAAAATTGTATAAATCATTTTATTTTTTCAGTTAACAGCCTCTCTCTATTTTCCCCACTTTTATACCCAAAGAATTATAGGTATATGTGTAGCATGTACAACTACTTATTGTTTGGACATCAGAATAGTTGAATTGCACAGTGAAGGTGCCAACAGTTTTTATGTTTCTAAAATAACTTGACATAGTCTGGTCTTCATATTTATATGGCACAATAAATACTTCAAGTTGTGCATTCTCTGTGGGTTAAAAAAAGGGCAACATAGACTTGAATATGCAAATAAAAAGTTATCTAAGATATCGGCATAAACTAGATGTGACTATTGTTATTGTTGTGGTTGTTATTAATGAATTTAACTGTTTATAATTCTCTTTAACAGGAAAAGTATCTAGAAATATTACAGAATCAAACACAAACTCAATCTAATGTTGATCAATTTCAAGCATATTATCAAGCCGCAGGAGGGGAAAAGAAAAGAAGGATATATGGTCTTGGATCGCAAGCAAAATCATTTTACGGGAAGAATTTTTGTGCCCCAGCTTCTGGATTTGATGTTTCATCCTCGATACCATGTATGAATGCTCAAACAACAACACCGGAAAATTTGGATGACTTTATGACGCGATTGATTCCTTCACTGACAGATCACATGCTTCCTGTGTTTGTTGAGCGGGTACGTGAATTGATTTCTTCGACCTCATCTCAGCCAAACACTCCTATGACACCCGTCATTCCTACTCCATCTAATATTGATGAGGCAAATGCATCGGTTTCTAATGAAGATTGTGGTTCTCCGATCTCTCTTAGTTAGTTTTGTTGGCTAGATATTAATTTTTGTTTGGAAATTATCGTTGGGGTTGTTTTAAACTTGGTTATACACTTCAGCTTTTTGTGTTTTGGATCTGGTAGAATATTAGTTTCTATGAATTAAGTTAATTTTGCAAATTTATAATATCTATTTGAATATGATTTGCGATAATATTTTTGTCACTAATGTATTTAAAAGTAATGGCGATGAAATTTTGTGACAATATTTTCGTCGCTATAAAAAGGTAGAAATGTATAAAAAGTAATGGCGACGGAATTAGCGACATATTTGTGATAATATTTTCGTCGCTATAAGAAGTAATGGTGACAAAATTAGCGACGGAATTTTCGTCACTACAAGAAAGGTAGAAATGTATAAAAAGTGATAGCGACGGAATTAACGAAAAAATTTCGGTCGTCAATACGATGACACAACGAAATAGCTTACAGAATTTGCGACAAAAAGTACAAATATAACGACGGCTTTTTTGGTCGTTAGTTTTAACAACGGAAGAGATCCGTCGCGCATCTGTCGCTAAACTTACGACGGATTTGTTTTTTTTTGTCGCTAAATGGTTAGCTACGCGCATTATACCGACGGATGAAAATCTGTCGCTATTCCGTCGCTAAACCAAAATAGCGACGGAATAAGCTATTTAGCGACGGATTTCATCCGTCGCTAAACATTGTTTTTTTTGTAGTGAAACATGCTATGTGTAGACGTTAATTTCTTTAGTTTGGCCACTTTGGTGACTAACAAACTATATAAATACAAAGCACACATAATATCATGAAATTTTGTGCATGTGAATAATTTTATACATTTTAGTTTGGCCACTTTGGTGACT